TTTTGGGGGGGGGCGGCTGTGGGACTTATTTAAATATAAGGAGAATTTTTTTTTCTTTGGAATTTAAGTACAAAACACCCTGCTTCTTTTTAATATTTTTATTAAATATTTAAAATTTGAAGGTAGGCTACATATTATTATTAACGCTAGATCTAATCCTAATAATCCTAATCTAAACATTTACTATAGCCATTCTCGTTAAGTTAAAATAATATTAGACATAAACTTTTTTTCCCATATTCTTATCCGGACATTTACGCACAGTACCATAAATTATGATGAAGATAATCTTACACAAACTTCTTAATCAAACTAATTATAATGTGGGCTGGGGCGTACTTGTTAACTATTATCCGCTTGGTCAAGTCGGAAGCAGACCTGCGTATGTATGCGTTCTAGACCAGGTGAAGTAGAGTCAGTCTGATTTGGAGACTGTTTTTGTGTATTGAGCTTTAGTAAATAGTCGTTGGTGTCATGTACCAATGAGATCGTTGAAAAAATAAAATCAGTATTTGAAACTTTTCGTTGTATTGGCTCTACCACTCGCCCGCCAACCTATTTATATCGACAGTACGTTAATGAAATTATTATTGAGTTACAACTACGTCATGACTTAAAACTTAATCTAAGTCACATTGTCCAGTCACATTAAGTCATGTTATCAGTGAGGTAAGGAGAGTAACTCAGGGCTAAAGAATTAGTTGTGAGTACATTTAGTCCTGCGGCGTTCTCGATAACAACAGACATAGACACCAACAACAACAGTTACAGACAACAACAACAATAGATACAGACACCAACAACAGCAGATATCACCAACAACAGACAACAACGACACCAACAACAACAACAGACACCAACAACAACAACAACAGACACCAACTACAACAACAGATACAGATACCACCAACAACAGACACCAACAACAACAGACACCAACAACAACAGACACCAACAACAACAGACAACAACAACAACAACAAACACCAACAACAACAGTCACAAACATCATGAAGAACATACACAGACAACATATTCCAAAGATCTTGTTATCCTGGTTATTTTACCTCATAGTGCGGCTAGGATACAGTTTCCCTGACCCACATTCTAAAAATAAACACCACTCATTTTTCGTTTTAAATTAGATTTAAAATATCCCGGGCACTTGAAACAATGAAATTCATTTTTGTTTTTTGTTACGATAAAAAATGCAAAATGAAATATAAAAGAAAATGTGAAAAACTGGTATTGCTAATGTTATATTTAAAGTACAAACTGAAATCTTGTTATACCTCTTATTATAGTTTCAATAATATGCTTTAAACGAGGACCTAACTGCATTTAGATGCATCTTGTAATCTTTAGAAAATAATTAATCGAAGACATTATTAGCGAACAATGTTTCTTTCAGGCATCTTTACAAGCCCCCCCCCCCCCCCCCGTCCTCCCTACCTCCGGAAGTTTCAAGACTACCCCCACCCCCTTCGGGAAAAAAATTGATTTTTTTGGGGGGGGGGGGTGTCTCTTTGTAAGTTTGATAAATTCTTAAGAAATACTATTCTATGTAATTTCTTTGTGTAATTTGTTTCTATTTACATTTCTGCATTAGTTAAATTATTTATTTATTTAAACGTCATTTTTTTGTCGTTTCAAGGTCTTTTAAATATTCTTTAAACACATCAATTATGACGTTAAATCAAGAATGTAACAAAAACCTTAACTCTAGTTAAATATGTTTGGAGTTGCTTCCCTGTTCTATTAAATCACTTTTGTAAACACTGAGTTTGATTAATACCACAATTACAAAAATTGAACCTCTTATTAATATCCTAATTATTTTTTAAAAATTAATTGTAGGTAGAAAAAAACTTTTTTTTACTAAACTGGTGACGCTATGGAAAATGGCATGTGTCAACATAACATTGAAAACATAAAGGGATAAAAACAGAATCTGTGCTTTTGGTTTGAAGGGTGTGGAATACTGACGTGAAAGACGTAGTTTTTTTTCTTTTTCTCTTCTTCTGCCCAAGCATGATGAGTGTGTGCGTGCGTGTGCATGTGCGTGTGCGTGTGCGTGTGTGGGTATTGCGTGTGTGGGTATGTATATGTGGTAGTGTGTATGTGCGTGTGAGTGTGAGTATGTGTGTGTGTGCGAGTGTGTTTGCGAGTGTGAGTATGTGTTGGCTCTATCCTGGGGATTAAATAACTATACTAGGTTTGTATGTTGGGAAAGGGGGGGGGGGGGAGGTTCTTGCCTATGAGCTACACATAGTTATGGGGGTTTGGTACTTCATAAAAACAGATGCTCTAGTGGACTACATACTCAGTCAAGATATTCATTCCTCAACTCTATTTATAAAATAAACATTAATTTAAAAGAACGTGTTAAACATTTAAATAAAAACTCAAATCATAATATTTATTTATCAATTTATTTTTAACAAGAATACAATACAGAAAATAAAGAGCATATGTACGCTTATTTTACCCTCATATAATTACGTAGGCGTCGATACATTTTAAAAACTCGCGCATACGGTGTCGTAATTCAAACCTGACAGTCTACGACGGATCCAATTATATTCTCACTGACTGGCTGAGATTTGATCCTGTTTTCTTCCATATTTTCTCTTCTGGTTCAGCAAGAGTGCATGACAAACTAGACCGAGACACCGTAGATTTCGGTCACTGCTGTGTGATGATGTAATACCGCGATGTGTGTGTCCTTGAGTGCTAGTAAATAGTAAAGTCCTTTTGATGTCCTCACGATACAAATGTCCTGACAATATAGCGGAATAAAATTTAACCACACTCGCACATCGTAGCGAATATTCTACAATATACACAGTATAAAAATGTCCTAATATATGCCAAAAATAAAAACGTAATCACAATTTTAAATATAACGAATATCCTAAAATAAGCGCAAAATAAAAATGTCCTAAAATATACTTAATATAACAATTGACGTGTCGTATACACATTATGACAAATGTCATAACATATACACAACACAATAGTGACATAAGACAGCTAAAGAAATGTCCTAAAGTATAGGCAACACAATATAAAATGTCCTTAACTATATACAACATAACCAATGTCCTTACACAATATAACAAATATCCTTACACACCATATAAAATGTCCTAACACCGTATAAAAAATATTCTAACATAACATAACAAATGTCCTAAAACGACTTAACAAATTCCTAAAACGATATTACAAAAATGTCCTAAGACACAACCTAACAAATGTCCTAACACAACCTAACAAATGTCCTAACACAACCTAACAAATGTCCTAACACAACATAACAAATGTCCTAACACAACATAACAAATGTCCTAACACAACATAACAAATGTCCTAGCATATACACATCAAAACAAATGTCCTAACATAAACACAACATTTAAAAAATGTGTTAACACAACAAAACAAATGTCCTAACATATACACAACAAAACAAATGTCCTAACACAACATAACAAATGTCCTAACACAACCTAACAAATGTCCTAACCACACAACATCAATCCCCGTAACACCCACGACACCAAACAATCCCGCCCCCCCCCCCCCCCCCCTGATTTATCTCGTCTACAACTCAACCAGATCCCTTACCCCCGGGAACACCGCTCTTCCTCGCCCCACCCCCACACATCGCGACCTTGATCTACCCTCATAAATCTTGCCAGACTTTTTGTGTCCTTGACACGTCACGTAAACACGTGCAAAACAAACTACTCATTCCTGATTAGCGGGAAAGTTTCCATTTATCCTTGATCATTTCAAACCGAAAATTACAACGGCGCCGTTTCATTTATTGCAATTATATTTTTTTCTTTAAATATTTACGATTTGAAATACAAAACTGGAATTATTGCCATAAAAAGCCCACGGGGAATTATTTTTATTACAGTTTTTGTTAATTTAACACCTAAATAATGAACATGTTTGATTTTGTTTTATATTGTATCACGTTTATGAATAGATACCAGGTTTTTTTTAAGGCGACAGAGTTGCCAAATATGCAGGTTGGCAGATTTGCTATCGTTAATTCAGCTTTAATGAGCATCGTTAATAGATTTTTCCCGAACGTTCGATTGTATTATTCATAACAATTTTTGTTCGGTTTATTTAATGCGTTTTTGGCGTGTAATTAAGAGATGTTTCAAAAAACACATTTTATAATCGTTTTTGTGTTTTTGACGTTTTTATTTTTATTTTTGTTTTATAAAATATTGAGCGCTTTGAGAAACGTTTAAATTAATCTAAAATATATCTATTTCTGATTAAGTAGTTAATCTATGTTTTTGAGTAGTTTATGAGTGCCAAACTGCTTAGAAAAATAAGGCAATATCAGTTTTGAAAAAGCTGACAAGATAGCACCTTAGGTTATCCCCATAAAACAGTATTTGAATATGGGACACTACTCTTACAGACGAAGCTCTTTAACTCCCCTTGTCTATTACTACGCTATGTATAAACACAATTTCGCCAACAGTTTGTTTAACTTGGTGTTTAATAAAGAAGTTAGAATTTTAGTTACATTTAAATACATAGAAAAAAAGGTAAAGATTTCTCTTTAGGACTAGCTACCCATTGGGCAGATGAACTAGACGTCTGTGTTTTTTTTTACCTCGGCATAAGAAAGGATAGTGTGGTCATCACTATGCCCACCCGCCGTTACTTTCTCCAATGTAACTCAGGTACCCATCAGAGCTGGGTGGACGTCCTATAGTCACAATTCCGGACCGAGATCCGAATTCGAAATCTTCAGGCTAGTAGACAAGCGTTCTGTCATTTGACCACGCCGTCCCATCTAAATACATAAAAGAAGGATTATATATTTTTTTATTTATTCAGACATTGTTGTTATTTTTTTATGGGTTTTTTTTTATTTATTTTTTTGCTTTGAATTTTTTTTTTTTTAAATATTGCCATAAGCCACCTTAAACAGTTTTTTTTTCTTTTTTCTCAGGTCTTTGAAGCAGACACCATCCATTTGATCAACGGGTAAACACAGTCGCCATGACGTCATTGACGTCCCTCGTCATCTTCCCCGCCCTCGTCCTCCTCGGCTACGCCCTGTCTGACGTCATCGCCTGCGACTTCCCCCGGGCGCTGCAGATCGACAGCAACGACCCGCCGTGGTACAGCCACATCCGGGGCAACGGGTCACGTGACGTCGAGTACTACATCCGTCACAACGTCATGGAGATCCACTACCCCAGCTCGGCCAAGCCGCACGTGCGCTGGAAGTGCACGCTCACCTTCCACGACAAGCTGCTCCTGAAGCGTGAGGACCACATGATCAACAGCTTCTACCGCTGCGCCAAGTTCGTCATCCGGAGCACGTCGGTGGTGCAGATTTTCTGGTCTCACGAGTCTAAGACCTTCGATTTAGCGTTGTGTGAAGACACCGCTATGAAGCTCGACCACTGGCCGTTGATTCGGTTTAAAACTCTAGACTCGGATTACAAACAGTGTCCGTTTAGCGGTGGGTTCGATATGAAGATGATCGATTCTAAATTCGGCGCCAACGGGTGTAATTTGATGGTCAGGCCGATGAGGATGGAGTCGGAGTGTCTTGGTGGTGAGGGCGTCGTCTTCGACTACATCGCCAGCAACTGCTTGCCGGATATCCGGATGTTCGTCCAGCAAAAGACCGTTTGCATGACGGACTGGCGTGACAGCCGGTACCATTACGTCATCCTGCGCCGCAGCGAAGACACCGACCTCTGGTGCCTGGTCATGCCGGTTCACCGAACCGGCAACATCACGGCGTACCTGTTCAGCGACTTAACCTGCCGGTCGGATTTTGACCGGCTGAACGCTCATCAAGATTTGAAGTACTTCACGCTGCACCTTCGCAAACGGGAATTCCCGACCTTGTGTGAAGACGAGTACGACCAGTGCAAAACGGCTACGTGTAATTCGTACTTCAAGAACGAGTGCCAGAAATCTTGCCATGTTTGCGACGCATCCTCCACTCCGCCATCTTGTGAATTCCCAGCAGACTTCCAAGGCAAGTATTTCCTCAGGGGAAACAATTCCTACAACCAAGTGGAGTTAACCCGTTCGAGATTATCCATCGACAGAGTCGGAGATTTCCGGTGCGTCGCTTTTCCCGACAGCCCGAAACCGGACACCAGGATGTACACGACCGTGTCCTACTACGACAACGGCTGCCGGCCTAGGTACACGTGTCTAAAACTAGCCCGGCTGAGCCAGTCTGTCCTGCGCTACAGCCTTAGCCAGAGCTACGACTGGCCGATGTTCCAGAAAACTCCAGGGGCGACTATCTGCGACAGCGACCGCTTCCACCCCGACCCCACCCCGGTCGACGACCTCTACCGCTCGCACGAAGGGTCGGGGATCCCCATCGTTTCGCTGGCACCGAAACCGGAACTCGTCGAGTGCAACATCACTTCCGTCTACGCCGTCAGCGCCACCTTACCCGAGGGCTACTCCTGTATGGGTAGCCTCTACAGCCACTGTGAAGACAAGAGAAAGCTGCGTCTCGAGTTCGGATCCTGCGGCAGCATCATCGCGCCCGTGACGGATTACCAATGCTTGGCCGTTTTTCAAGGTCACTACTGGGAGAGAATCCTACTCGTCCAGAATCTTCTCAACGACACCGACACGCTCTGCTTCGTGTTCAGTCAACTGCATCCGCACGAAGCCTACGCCCTCGTCGCCAAACAATGCGACCAGAAGAGTTTCAATTTCGCGCGCAGTAAACTGCGAACCCCGCTTCTCAAGCTACAATTCCGCATCGAATCCGATCCTTGTAAATCCGTACCGGTCAAAACGGCGACGTCCAAATCGGAAGTGACCCCGAGCGCGTCACGCATCGCTGATAACGCTAGGAAAGATGACAGACAGACGTACGGCAAGCAGCCTCATCCGTCGTCCATGTCGGCCACGGAGACGCCGTCCGAGAAAACAATGCCGCACAAGGCGGGGCACGTCAACGACGCCCCGGACGCGCCCAGAGCCAAGTCAACCTCCTTCGGCGGGGGAGACCCCCTACCTTCAACGCATAACGAAAACGGCGCGGAAAATTTAACACTATCTTTTTTCGCCATGACAGTTTTACTCTGTGCTTTCTTAACATGAGATTAATGTTACGTCTTCGTCTTGTAAAAAACAAAAGTTTAATCACGTGACTTTAATAAACACTAGGGGGTAACGATGTGATGAGGCATACACCGCCGTCAAGACAAATAATGTGATTTACATTATTTATTCCGCGGCTGATAAAACTGTGATGGTTTTTTTTTAAATACCAAACAAGAGGAAACAACTCCTTAATCACTTCCGGTATATGTGTTGTAATTCTAAGCAGTGGCCGTTTTGTTGTACATTTTTAAAGCTTATAAATTCCATATATGTGAAAACAAGACAAAGACGTTCTTTTGAAGAAAGTGTAAAAATCAAGGGAATCAACCTATAATAAACTAAATGTTTCCTGGTAACAAATCGATTTAAGAAAACTAACTCTGCTAGCAACAAACATTGTAAGGGGGGGGGGGGGATTCGAGCAGTAATTAACTAATTAGTGGGGGGAAAACCCAAGGCACAGCTGGAGAAATGATGCTGAGATGCCGGTAATTAAAAAAATTAACTTGCCCCTAATCAACGTGGTCGAAGACAGAATATATCAACAAAATAAAACTCTACAACAGAACTACATTTAAGGCTTTTTTTTTTTGCGAATCCTGAGATAATTTTTCCATTTATTTTTTTTTTCAACATGTTTAAATATTTTAAAATATTTTAAATAATGAATTATTTTTTTTTTTACTTTTAGAACCTTTGTAATTTAAAATATATTTTCCGTGGCTTGTCTTCTTTATTATTTTTTTAATTTTTTTTTCAAATAATGTATTCTACCATTTTTATATAATTCATAAAAATGTAATAATGTACTCTTTTATTACATTTTTTCCCTATTGTAATGTTTCCTTAGCTGTAACGGGGTTAAGATTAACCCTTTAAAGCCTGTCGGCTAGGATATATAAAAGAAGAGATTTTTGTGTGAATGCGTTGGGAAATATATTTTACCTTATGAGCTTGTACATTATCTCATTAGCTGAGATATTTCATCTCAGTTTTTTAATCTTTTCTTTGAGGTCATGTGACCTGGTAAGTGTAACCTTACGTCACTCGTGTAACTGTAACAATGTTATAACATACAAGAAACACATATTGGACACACACATATTGGACACATATCTAACATAATACATTTTTTTTAGTTATTATGAGTCTTGCATTTCTTTTTTTTTCTTTATTTTAGACCTGTATTTTTTAAAGTTTTATGAGCATGTTTTTAAGTTTTATAAGCACTATTCAAATTTTATGAACAAGTGTAAATGTGTGTAAATATTGTTCAGAGGAGTAGTGAGCAATGATTATTGACATGCTTAGTTGCTCATAAACATACCTGTATGTAAGAATTGTGTTATAAGTATGTGTATTTATGGTATGTGAACAAAGCCATACTTATATGTATGTGTATGGCGGGCAAATGAACAAAGACACAAACTTGTATGTGTCTGTGGGCAAACGAACAACGACACACGCGTATGTGTCTGTAAATATTAAATGAACACACATATACGTGTCCGTGTCTTCTACTACAGACATGTGGTGTGTTAAGCTGAAGGTCTACTTACCTGTATTTATGGTAACATATCTCCTATGTCTTATGTGTTGTTTAACCTTGTATAGCAGTTTCAAGAGTCAGCTGGGAATACGGGGTATCACTGGGTTAACCTTTGACCCGAACATATATATGTCCATAACAATATAGCCCTAATCTTGTTTCTACATGTATATATATATATATATATATATATATATATATATATATATATATATATATATATAAATGATGCTTTTGATTAGTATTGCATGTATATATACTTGGCATAAAACGACAAATTCATGATGATAGTGAATTATGGTGATGTTTATGTACTGTAAGCATCGAGTATAAACAATGAATTTTTAAATATTATTTTAAAAAAATTAAAATAAAACCATTCTTGCTAAAAAAAATTGTTATTTAGCGCATTCCAAATGTTTGGAATTTGAACTCAGTACTCACTTTCTCACACGTGGATCGTGTCGGTAGTCAGATCACGTGAGCTTCAGTGACGTCAAGCAAGACACGTGACTTAGAAGCGTAGCGAAATTGACTGTCTGTCAGGGCTGTCTGTCAGGGCTGTCTGTCATGGCTGTCTGTCATGGCTGTCTCTAATGGCTGTCTCTCAAGGCTGTAAGTTAATGTAACATGTATTTATAGCTTGCTTAAAACGTCTACATCTATGGTAGTACTTTGAGACGTTCAAATACAGCCCCATTTCACTCTGTCTACGAGATGTGTACACTATCCTGCGACCTCACGTTTTGTTTGTGTCTGCTTACATCTGTGTAAGATGTCACAGCTGTAAGCAGCTATGTATTTGGTTTTAGTTGCCTCTTGATCACTTTTTTATGGTGACCATTGTTTGTTTTTTTTAAACATTTGCACACTTGTAAAAAAAATTAGAAACTTTGTATTCTATCATTACATGATTCTGCTTTAAAGTTTAAAGGAATTGATAGTGACCATTGTTTTTTTTTAAACATTTGCACAATTGTAAAAAAAAAAATTAGAACCTGTATTAAATCAATACCTGATTCTGCTTTAATGTAAGTTCAAAAGTATTGTTTTAAAATATTGACTTTCATGCCCTTGTAAATACGTTGTAACTTTTCAACCTTAAATTGGACGCACTGCTCCATCCCTTGCTTACAAAACTTGGACAGAGGCGTATCCACTGGGGCCCTATCTGCTCCCCCCCCCCCCCCCCACTTCCTCATCACCACTAACATAATTTTGGCACTAATTGCAAGATATGCCCGAATATGACTGCTATAACCAGATAAATTTCTATAACCGTCATACCCCAACCACAATGCCGCATAAAACAAATTCGTTCAATGATATTCCATCCTACCCACATATTCCCTAGCACACGGCTTTACTTGTGAGCTAAAGAACAAACTCATCCCTATGATATAATTTTTTTTTACTTCAACTTAATCACTGCTATAACGATACTACAGCAGGCAAACTCTACCCCTTGATGCTCTTCATCTTACCTCACCACCCTACACCTCACATAATTTCTGCTATTACAGCAACCCCATCAACCACCCGACTCAACTACTACAATACCAGCCATCCCACCTCAACAACCATTCCACGCAACCACCACTATAAAGACTACCCCAATTTGACAACCCTACCTAAACACTGTTATGATGAATTCCCCAACTGACCGCCGTCAACCCCACCACATGCATACTACTATAACAACCACCCCAACAACCACCCCAAATAACCACCGCCTTCAACCCCACCGTATGCATACTGCTATAACAACCACCCCAACAACCACCCCAACAACCACCCCAACAACCACCCCAAATAACCACCGCCGTCAACCCCACCGTATGCATACTGCTATAACAACCGTCCTTATTGAACACCCACATTAACACAATGGCTACCTACTCATAACCCCTAATTTACCCCCCCCCCCCCCCCCACACCAACCCAAAAAAAAACTCTAGTTTCTGATTAGCTGTCAATAACACAATGACGTATAAAATGTACATACTCCAAATCTCACCTGAGTTTCATGAGTACTACCAATGTATTTACTAACCACGATATTATGTTTACATCACCTCCATCTTAATTGAATGAACTCAATATATATTTGTTATTAGTATTTCATATGATCAATGTTATTTATGTACATCTAAACGCGATTAAAACTCATATACAACAACATAACTGACTTTATTCTAATTTTTATATAATGTATAATTTTTATTAAAGAAATTTATTAAAGAAATGTAGAATTCAGAGTAAATGAAGTCATCAGCCTATCTAAGAAGTATCAAAGACCAACAGGGCGAAATAGCTGCTGATCAGAGTTTCTTTCAGGGGTCGGCGTAAAGCTCATAGTTGCTGCACCGAAAAGTCTCGAGTTCGAACCCTCGGACAGATGAGGCTCGTTAGCTGGGGACAGCCACTCTTCTAGGAGAGACAACTCCAAAATCAAACAACTGCTGCCTTGCAGTTTGTTCTTGGTTAGACAAAGGCTATGGAAGCAAATCCAAAAAAAGAAAAGCAGGCTGAAATCGGAGTCAATGGCCTCAATGGCGCATGTGATGGAGGCGTGGTCGAGTCGGCAAAAGTTCTTGGTTGATAAATTCGAAAAAAAACCCTCTCGATCCCTTCCAACACTAAAAATTAAGAACGAAGAAGAAGAAAAAAGTTTCTTCTCTTCCCCCCCCCTCCCCCCCGAAAAGTCTACCGCCCCCCCCCCCCCCCGAACGAGAGGAATTAATATAGAAAATATATACTTTTAACAGTGTCTGCCCTCCCCCCCACCGGAAATTTTAGTCCGCTTCCCCGGAAAATTTCAAGTGCCCCTTCCCCCCCCCCCGGGAAAAAAGTCTGGAAGAAACACTGCTGCCGATTTCACGGAAGGATCGGCAAGGCAAGAGCAACAGTTTAATCCTATTAGCAAAAACAGCGTCAATCATGGACGTTCAACGGCCTCGTGACTTGGTACCGAACTCTCGATGTCAGGTTTAGCAGTCTGGCGCTCATCGACTCGATCACACTGTCTAAAGTTTGAGACAAGTTCATAAAAGCTGCCGAAATCATACATCTAATATATAGAGGCTAGACAGTGTACTGTGTTTCTCTCTCTCGTTTTCAATGATAAAGTCGCCATATTTACCAATTTTAATTTGTAATGTCGAAAACTAAAAATGTTCTAAACTTTTTTTAAACATTAAAAATCAACAGAAGAGACTGTAGGTAGATCTCTCGTCTGATCTGTAACGTTGGTTGAATTAAGAGACGAGGTAACCTCCCCCTCCCCCTCCCCCTCCCCCCTCCCAACTGGAAAAAAAACAAAAAGTACAAGAGAAAATATACTACGCAGAATACTTGACACCTTCCTCCCCCACCCACCCCAGCCCCTCCCTCATTCCCAGTCCCTGGAAAAAATGCTAAATTACCACAAACTCTAAAATATCTAAGGTGTCCTCATAAGGGGAAAAAATCGCTTCACCTTCTCCTTCCCTCCCCCTCCTACCTACATCACCACCCCCATCTCACAATTTAAAAAGTCATACAACCTATTACAACTTTCAATACCAACATCAACAGACTCGCCTAAGATTCTGCATCACCTCCAACCCACACACAAAACCCACACAAAACCCACACAAAAACGTCCTAATCTCCCCAAGGAGCGATCTCGCTGGGATTATCTGCTCGCGTGAGAAAAGACATTCTCCTAAACCTGAAATAACCAAAGTGTGAGTAAACTAACCCTCAACAGTGACGGATATTTGTACCTGTTCAATTATTTACACACACGACCAACATAAATTCTAGGATTGATACAGCACCATCAAAGTTTTTAACTCATAAAAAAGA